TTTAAGGCGATGCTAAAGATGCAATCCTTTTCCCAAACTGTCCAATTTTTCTACTCTTCTTTCTGGCTTACGTCTCTCCTTCTGTTTACAAACATGTTGTACCACTCTTTCTCCTGAGAACTATCCCTCATGCAGAGGGACACACAGACAACTGGCACTTGATATGCAGAAGTCCAAAAACCTCACAGCAGCTCTGTGATATTTTTAAAATCAATGGCATTTTTTTGGTATTTTTTAATACTTGTGGGAATTCACCAGGTTTGCTTCATCACAGGATTTCTGTTTCTAGGCAGTGTTTTTCAATACAGCTGAGGAAGATATAGTATTGATCAGGGAATGCATAACATAGATTACCTTTCTGATCGAGGTAGTAGGGGACCATCATCTGTCACATCTGCTTCTCCGTAACAAAGATTTATGACTTTTCATGCTACATTTCTCAGACACAGACATCTCTGTACTATTTGCAAAGCATCAATGGGACTATAAACACATCCAGCAAGTCTGCATGTCCATATCTCATGTGTACATATTTACAGCCATTCATGCACTGTGTCTCTGTGATCTATTTTCATACTTCCTATCCTTCACCTCATGATACTTTTTTTTGAAATAATATATTATTTATATTGCTTCAGATCAAGATTTCCACTTGCTGGTGTAGGGACAGCATCTCATAAGGTACTGGAGTGAATAAATCCAGGGTTATACAGCAAACAATCCAGAGCACTACTGCACATCTGACAGAGCAGCTTGCTATTTATTCACTGCTTTAAAGCCAGCAGAACAAATACAGTGACACACTCACAGCAGTCAGTTGAGCAATGGGATGTCTGTCTCTCAGTCACAAAAGAGTCACAAGAGAGTCACAAGAGAGTCACGAGGTAGCATGTGGACACTGCAAGAAGTTACTTTCTTCATTTGTTTCTAATGTAATTATTTTCTATATAATTATGTAGTTAATGTACAGAGGGCTGCTCCCCCTTATTCATGCCTCTTCACTTCCATGCCAGGCACAGTCTGGGGTTAAATGTGACTCCTACAACCAATAGTTTCTGGTGGAAGCAGAGCATAAAATATTATTTGGCTGCAAAATCTTATTGGGTTTCCTGTGGCGCCTGCCAATGATGGGCAGCAGTCCCCTGACACACACTGCTCACCTGTGGACAGCCTTTATGCATCTCCCCTGTCTTGTGACCTGCAGCCAGTCTGCCCTCTGCCCCAAGCTGGGTAGGAGTGTGCTGATGAGACAGACATGATGCTGACCAGTAGTAATAGTGTGAATATCAGGACGTTCCCTTAACATTATTTTCAATGTGATGATGATAATAATAATGGATTACCAGTTTTTTAATATGATTGGACTATCCTATCCTCACAGGTGGGAAAAGCCAGGATTAAGCAATTCAGGGAAAACAGATAAGGACAATACCATGCATTCTTGAAAAGCAGTGGACCAAAATCTTAGCTTTAGTACTCCTGTATCTAATTATTAATGACCACCTACAGTAGAGCTGAGGAGTTATGAGACTCAAAGAATACCCGAGTGCTTTAGAAAGCCCTTCTTATAGGATGCATGGCTGATCAGTCAGAGACTAAAGTCACACATTTTCTCAAGGTATGAGAGACATTCTGTGAAAGATACGCAAAGAAACCAGGTCCTCCCAGCTCTAGGGAGTGCAAAGTCCTCAGCAAAGTCCAGTGTAGTGTATATATAGAAATAGATACATATATTTTCTCTAAATGACTCTTCTGCTCACCAAATAATACATTGATTGAGGAAGTCTGTGTTGTCTCTTATGACCACTATTATGATTCCTCAGTGAAACAAAAGTTCAAGGATCCACATAGAAGCACCCCTTTCAGTACCAGGGGACAGTCCTGCAGTCTTGGGAGACATGTGGCTCTCCCGTGCATCACCCATCAGTGCTGGCCCTCCCCCTCACCAGGTGCTCCTGACAGGCCATGCCTTTGCCACTGCCCCTGGGAGAACCACCAAGCTCAGATCCAGAGCCTGAGTCCTTGTTTCACCATCATAGCCCAGATATGCCCCACCTCACTCACCCTGTTAGCTACTGAAAGCTAAATACAGATCCTACTGCCCACTGCTTTAACCTGCATAACCTAGGGACCACTGCTCCCCAGCAAGTCCAACACAGCCACAGAGACAGACAAAAGGCATTAGTCCTTCTTTTCCCTCTGACTATTAACAGAGTTCTGTTTTTCCCTCTCTTAACTCCTTTCTCTCTTACAGTCACTTATTTGCACTTCTCAAGCAGCTGTGAAGCTGTGGGGGCACCAGAGGGATAAAATGGAGGAGGAGTTTGGAGAATCTGAGCAGTCAGGAAAAAAGAAAACCATACCCACTTAAACATTTACTTAGCACAGAAGGTCTGCATTTTACAGTAGAAGTTAATGGAGTTGTAAGGGGTTTTAGCAGCCAAGAACCTGTCCTCCAGCATGCATTTCCTATTCCCAGGTCACATGTTGTTATGAGCAAAATTCTGCATCTTAATTCACTGCCTGCTCCTTGCTACATAGTAGGTATCACAGTTCAGAGTAATCCCTTCTGGTTTGGTCAGAGGAGGAGGTCTTCTAATTAGTTGCTGTAATTGCTGTTTGAAGACTGTGCAGAAATAGTCCATGATGCCTGCTCATGTGGTTGGAATCCATGAGACATGGAATCTCCTGCCTTTGCTAGGATATATTTTGCCACCTTGAGCAAAAAGGTCCATGTTTGCTTGGATCTACTTGTGCTGAGCCATGGTACAGGACACACACCAGCGAAGAACTACATACATGTGAAATGTTCCTACGATAGGTACAAAGGTCTTAATTTGTCTTATGTCTGAGCTAATATTCAGGTGTGTAGTGGACCACATTCTGCTTGTAAGCTACAGTCTCTGCAGCCCCACAACTGGTCTGGTGTAAGTTAGGGTACTATTCTCCCAGCGTGGCAAACGGGTCAGGTGGTGTAGCCTGCTCTAGAGTCTCACTACCACTTGGCAGATGCAATACTAAAGTTACAGCAATTTTTTTGGACCAATTTGGGGTTCAGAGGTTCCAAGCTACATTTAAACGTGGCAGGAACAAATAGTTTGAGCCAAACTGATTCCTGGTGTAACTCTAATAAGGCTGGAGGAACTACGCCTGGGATGATTTTGGTCCCAGACAATATGTCAATGATCAGTCTTTCAATACCCCTGGCTATAAGCATCTTTAAAAATGACATTCTCTGAATAGTACTAAATTCTGATCTGCCAAATGTGGCAGTCAATGAGCTCTTCCGTACTAAATATTGTGAGGATGATACATAAATACTCAAGTATCCTTGAGCCTCTTGGTAAAAATTAATTGATCTATTACAGACAATAACTATTCGCTGAAGTTTTTATTCTGCATTTTTTACTTTTGTAAGTGGCATATGTGATTTCATTGGCTGGCTATTTTAAACCATAGGGGACCATTGGTGGAGCAGTACAAATCCCCCTGAGAAATCCAAAATTGCCAGCTGCAATTATATTTTGCATCTAGCATCTTCTCCAAGGACTATAAATGCTTCACTACTTTAATTCTGCTTGGCATTGAAATTGCTGTGTGACAATTCCTGAGGAATGGCGAAGGATGGACTCAGTAATGAAGTCTGGATAGCAAAGAAATATTGTCCAAATTGAAATATTCTCTCTATTTCAATCTAATATTCATCAGTCTGTGCACATAGATACAAAATACTTGAGAAGACGAGTACCTTCCTTTTTGCTGCTAAAACATCTGTGGCTTTTTGCATATTAGAGGTGAGGAAAGTTGTTTTCATATTTCTTGATTGTTTTTAACTACTCAAAAGGATGAGATATTAAGTTGTAAATAACAGTAATTAAAAGGTCAAACTGGCAACTACATTATTTCAGATAACGTCTGTGAAACTCTACCAATTTCAGTGATACAGAATGGGAATAAAAAAGCAGCAGCTCAGCTATTTTTTGAGCTCATATGTACACAGTTTCAGTTATTTTAACTATTTCTGATAGCTCCCAAATCCTAGCTATATTAGATGACAAGATCAAGCATTATACCTCAGACTGAACGAGCAGAGATGCAACTGGGGAAACAAATGACACTGTGAGAATATGGGGCTTATGCATAAAGGATTCTACCCTTGTTAAAAAGAGATATGCTGAAGAAACATTCTTTAATGGGGAAAAAGTAGGAGAGGTGAGTTATAAAATACTTATAATAAAAATCACCTGGGGTACAGTGAGCTGCGCAGGGTCAATGTTTGCAAATGACACTATTTACCTTCAGCAGAGCTGCAAAACTTCTGAGACACCTAAGTAATTTGGGCAAATGGGCAACACAGTGCAAATGCTATTCAATGTCATTGCAAGGTCAAGCAGTGCACAGTAAGATACACTACGAAACAAAAATTCCAACTCTTCACATGCTGCAAAAGGGTTCAAAATTAATCACATAAACACTGGGACCTTGCTATCATGTGCTGCTCTCTGGGACACTGAGCTCCATGTGCAGCTGCAGTGTAACAAAATATTACGCTGAATAGAGAGTGGACTGAAAAAAGAAAGTCACAGAACCAGTAACCCTGCAGTGCCATCTTGCAGACTCTGGGCATCTGCTGAGGCCATTCACAAGAATACTGAAGAATCAGACAGGTCTTGGAGTAGGCTAAGCATGATCCAGCACAAAGACTTTCAAAGACAGACAGGAAAGATGTGGTTAGTATATTTCAAAGAAGAAATAAACAAGGCCACAAAGAAAAAGGTAGATAAGAGGGATTTACCTGCCTCCACAACATGGTAGTTCTGCTGCCCCTTTATCACCTCAACAAAAACAACAAACAAACAAACAAAAACAACAAAAAAAAGAAAAATCCCAACAACTGGCTGGTCTTCTCCTTGTGGTTTTCTCAGAGTCAGACTGGAGGGCAACTAACATCCTGCCACATATTTCCAAAAGCAAGAGTTACAAAAACGTTTGTCTCCTACCTTGTTAACTTCGTCCCAATCTGCTGCCTAAGCTCGAGCCTCTCTTCATCAGTCTGCATGGGGAGGATGTTCTTTTCCTCCAGCTCTCGCTTGGATGGCCTGTTGCTTAGTTTGATTGCTAAGGAGTCCTTCCTGCAGACTTTCATTGCCAGGGAGCCTGTGGGAGAGAGGAGAGGCTCTGCCAAAGGAGGTGTCATCATTGCATTACAGCACGAAGTGGGCAAAGACTGCCAGCCAAGGGAGGATCCTGGGCTCTCATTTACACTGGTAAGGACTGTGGGAAAAGGGGTGTCAATTAATTTCATGTGCTCAATTACCCTCAATTCACATCATAACAAGGAAAAGCTGAATTTGGTAGGTATACAGGAAAAATAAATTAAAATATTGCTCCATAGAGGGGAGTGGAGAAGAAGGGCTTGCTTCAGAACTGCATCTGTAGCATCTGTAGTTTTGTCTAGCACAGTGTTTCTGGACCATGTAATGGAATGAGTAATCCACCCTCAGAACCTGGTCAGGCAGCAGCAGAACTACAGCAGGTGGAAAAGAGAGAGAGAGACCTCTGTCTTTTACAGTGTAACATCAAGACACCCAAGTTGGCACTAGAAGGAATCAAAAGTCAATCAGCACAGATCTTTATGTACAGTAATTGACACTGCTTCTCAGGCAGTGACATTGGCAAAGATACTGTGAAAACCAGCAGCCTTTCATGAGTCAAGCTTGCTTCCCTAGACTGGCAACCAAAGCAGTTTGAGCAGGGAAGACAGACACAAGTAGACAGACAAACACAAACCCATGAGAGGTTTTGAGCAATGGCAGTACAGTGTGAAACAGCACAGTTCTGCTCTGGGTCTTAGTTTAAGAGCAAAGACTGCTTAATTTCACGTGCAGGGTAAAGGAGGATTCCGAGATGAAATATGCCTGTTTTAGAAACTTCTTTGTGTGGGTTTTAAAAAGGGTGCCTTTTGTTTGTATTGCTCCCAGTTTTCCAAAGAAAAGAAATCCAAAGGCCTGAAACTTCAGCTCAACCTGCAGGACGACAAACAGTTGTCATACACAAAGTATGGTATTTTCTCTTCACAGAAGAATCCTATAATGCCACACCAAGGCAGGAGATGGGTTTCTCAGACAGGCCAGGAGGGGGCCACAGGTCCATCTCCAGACTGTAATTGTGACATGGGTATCAATTAACCTGACCCCAATTCTCTGATCATGACCCCTTTCAAAGTATGTACAGGCTTAAAATTCTGACATGATTTAATACTTACTATATAAAAAAGTTCTGATTTTCTGTCAGTGGAACTTATTTCATCCTCCTGAAGTAATGCTAATGAGCTGATCTTGACATAAGCCAAATACAGGGCTTCTTTACACCACATACACTCGGGAAAGTGAATCCAAAAGTAAAATTTAAAGTGAACTAATATAAGCCAAAAAGAGTCACGTGATTTCTGTCTGAGAGCTACCTAGACAGAGATTCATGTGAATTAGGGAAATTATTACAAATTAATACTATTTGTTATTTTGGATTGACTTACAAAGTGTCCCCATGAAGTCAAGCCCTGAAAGATGCAAAAGATACAGGCAGGAAAGGAAATTCACAGGCCTTGTGTTTTCCTTATGCACTGAGAGGTAAAATTAAATAAATGGGAAAGAAAAACAGAATTAGTCTTACTTGTAAATAATGAGTTATCCTCATCCTCATCTTCCTCTTCCTCCTCTGCCTGTCTTGTGTAGAGGCAGGAAGAATCTTCATAATCTGCTTCATGAGGCACATTTTCTTTATTGTCATCGCATTCGATCACAACAGTTGGCACTTGTCTCATGTCTGGAAGGCCCCCAGGTCCTGTTTTTGTAACACTGTCACCTGTGTGTAAACCAGAGCTGTTGGGAAAGAAAAGCAAATGAATAAACTGAAGGAAACAGCTCAATGGAAGACTGAGTTGCTTCTCTTACTGTATTTAGGAAAGCAGCTGTCTTTCATCCCTTTTTTGAGAAGCAACAAGGACAGACAGATCTTCATGATCAGCAAGTGGGAGTTTTAACTGAGTATACATACATTAGATTTAAGGTACAACACTTACTAGGGAGAGGTAGGTCAGCACGCAGGCAGACATACTGGCAATCAGGACTAAGAGCAAAAGATCTGCAGCAAATAGAGTCTCGAGGCTTAGTGGGAATTGCACCAGCAACTGAGAGTGATAACATGTCTTCAGCCCAAAGTCTGTGTCACCTCTCCTCTGGCGTGCAGGCAGTGAAGAGAAACTGTCTCACTTGACAGGTGTCTCTGTCCTGCTTTGAGCCAGGATGAAAACAATTTTCTTTTTACTGATATTTTTTGATTCAGTGAGCTCTCTTCTGAGTAGCAGCAAGTTTTCCAGCTAGTGGACTGATAATGCTGGGATGTTTACAGATACAGCTGAGACATGAAGGATGCTTTGCCCTGCTTGTTGAATCTGTGGCCTCAGATGCTAAAGGAGCAGATCAGTTGTATTTGCAACCCTCCCATAGGGATGAGTGGACTAGACAGATGGCAAAACTGGTGAACCAAAGTATTTAACAACATATATAATTCAGGGATAATGGAAATCAAGCCCCTCCCTTCTTGCTTCTTCTTCCCTTCTCTTCCATTCATGGTTAGTGTCCGGGGAGGACTCTATCTATCCACCACTGTTGATCCCTAGGCCTACGTGTTCCTGACCCTCATCACTCTCCCCTCAGCTCCTGTCTGCTCTGCTGCTCTACCCAGCAGCTCCAGGATATTTCAGAACTGGTCACAGTTCATGAGATGCTGGGGGAGTTGCTGGGGGTGGGAGGAGGCAACAGGATTTTGCACATTCCTGAACACACTTGTATATATTTATACATATTTTCTTTTATCATTAGTTTTATCATTATCATATTTAATTAAAGCTGTCTAGTTTAGTTTTCAATCCTGAAAGTCTCTCTCCTTGTTTTCTCTCTCTCCTTTCCCCAGCTGGGTGGGAGGGGATCGAGAGCATCATGGTCTCTGGTCTAATCGCTGATCCTGAGCCAGACCGTGACAGTCTCACCAAAAGGTGGAGTAAGCGAGGGGGAGGAAGAAAAGGTATTGGTTGTAGAGAAGGACTGCAGAAAGGCAGGGGGAAACCATGACTGACACTGGGTAAGATGTGTTGATTGCCTTGAGGGAAAGGCAAGGGCACAACCCTCTGAGGCAGAGGGGATGAAGCATGTGAAAGTGGGCTTGGTGAAGAGAGACTTTGGGAGCTGGTGAGCATAACAACTGAACAGGGCTAAAGCCTGGGGGGTTTGTTTGCTAAAAGGGCACAGTTATATGTTGTGGGAGCTGCACTGACAATATATCCCAACTCCTACCCCAGGCGCTCACTCCATCCAGATGCTGGAGATCAATCTGAACTGGAGCTGACATCGTATTTCTTTTGTCACATGAAGTGTGACTGAACATTTCCTGCAGCTCACTAGGTTCAGTACTGCTACATCTAGCTCTGCTCATGTGTTGGTTTCAAAGTCCTTTATAAACAAACATTTCAATACAAGTAGGGTAATAGAAACATGAGGAAACAGGAGATGAAGATCAAAGTCAAACAAAAGGTGAAAGGAAAAGATGGGAACAGAACCAAGCTTCCCAAGCCATTTTTATCTCATAGCTCGTGTTGCTTTTTCAGTGTGAAATGAGTGAACAGAAACCACCCTCTCCTAAATCCCAGCTGAGGCAACAGATGTATAAAAGGCAGGGAACATTTTCCTGTCAGATACCCTCTCTTTGTCAAACTCCCATTTTTCTTTCCACAGGAGCACAGGTGTGAAACCAGATGTGATGGCCAAGCTGCACTTGAGGCACCTGAATTTGGGTCATGCCTTATCAAGTGCTGAGTAGCCTCAATTCCCTTGAATATTTAGCCTGTTCAGAATACCAGAGGCATTCTGTGTCTTGAAATAATGTTGTATTCTTCTCTTTAAATTACTTTCTACTGAGTCAACTTGAAATATTTCCCTTTCTTCAATGTAATCATTTTGATAATTGCAACATTTACTATTGCAGACTAACCAACAATGAGATGCACAGCTTTACTAGATGCCTTGAACAGAGGCACTTCATTTCCTTAGTGATAATCCATGTTTTGTACCACAAAGTATGAAAGATTCATGAAGAAACGGCTTATGAATTTTTGTATTAGACTTCAATGAGCTTGATAAAAAAATAAATTATCCCCAAAGTAGTTTTAGAATTCATCAGCTGAATTCTCCTAATAACACATAAATGCACTACAGTCTTTAAAAACTCTCAACTAACTTTTACTTTCTTGAAATGTTTTAAAAATTTAAATGCTATTAGTTTCCATTTTTAAAATCTGTTTTCTCTGTAGCCTATTTTTTGTGTAACTCTTCCTAAGAGGAAAGGTAAGAAATTAAAAAAAAAACAAACAACAAACACAGCCTTGGAATTAAATTACCAAGAGAAACTAAAATGTGGTGAAATTCTGTTACCATTGCTAAAAAAATTTCTACATGTATTGAAAAACCCCACAACTTCCAATGGTTAACACAAGCACTGGATCATTCATTTAATTAAAAAAAAAATACATACATAGAGAGTAAGTACAAGATCACTAAGTCCCTTCTAGAAGTAAAAATGAAAGGAGTAAAAAGTAGTTCAGCATCCTGGGCCCTTTGGTGCTTCCCTGTCCTGTGAAGGATGAATGTAGGTTACAGATGCCTCCTTATGGGAGTGTGCATAGGGTAGCAGATATCAAATTAGTTCACTAATTTAGGTTACCAAGCATGTGTTGGATGGCAACAAGATTTACAAATTACCACGCTACATCTTTATTTGAACTAGTGATCTAGAAAGCGACAGCTTCTCATCTTGTAATTTTTTTCTGAATCATCCACTTTCTGGATAATACTACTTTCTATTTTAAGCCCCTAATTTTTCTTGGTGTTTTGTGCTCTTCTTGATTAAAATCAGCATTTTCCACAGCTTTTTGAAGACGTCAGCTGTCTAAGCACAGTACTTGTGAAATACATTCAGTATTGCAGTACCCTTAAGACAAATCAAGGTCACTGGATATTTCCATTTTGTATAAATTCCTCTGGGTCATTAGCAAAAAAACAACATGGTCAGGTGGTCTACACCACAAAACATTTTAGCATTATTTACCAAAAAGCATTCTATTGTTTCAAATAGTCAATTTATAATCAGTTTCATGTTTAGCAACAAAATTAGAAAACAAAGCTAAAGCTAAGCAAGTACATGTTTTAAGAAGATAAATTTATCTTAACACATTGATTTCAATAATTCATAGTTGACTAGTACAAGCACTTGAAAATCCTCTTGTATCATCTTTACATGAGCAAACCATCAAGAAAGCCACACAATTATAGCCTGCAGAGTTTCTAGTGCGAAAAAAGATTAATGAAAAAATCAGAATTTAAGTATATGAGTGACTCATGGTACAGATAAAATCTAAAAAGAAAGAAGTGCAATCCATCCTGTAAAATCTAGTGGGAAAAAAAAAAAAAAAAAGGCATGCTTCTTAGCTGTGATCCCTGGCCCTTTGATTTTGGAATAAAGAGTTATATTTTGATCAGCATGTTTTCAGATCCTCAGTACAGTCTTCTGTACTTAACAGTGAAAACAAAAATTTGAATAAGGCTTCAAACCACCGTTTATACATTTCCACAATACAGGCATATGTGTGAGAGACAGAGAAGGTGGCAGAGCTATAAATATTGTCTCTATCCTTAGGCAATGCTAAAGTTTAGACAAAAAGCAATTATCTTGACAAGTTTTATGGAAGATAAATGTTTTCTGACTCAAATATGTTTTATAAGATCTACAAGACACTGGCAGGGATGCCTAATGCATTTAATTTCATAAATCTACAGTCTGAAGTTGAACTGGGTGTCCCAGAGGAACCCGTCTCACACACTGTCTTTTTGGACAGAGCGATTCTTCTCTGCTCTGCTTCAGATGCAGGCCTAGCTCAGGGTGAGATATTGCCACTTAATAGCTCTTCAGTACCTATGCTGAACAAATGGAGGCCTTGATTCAGCTGCAAGTGTACAAGAGCCCACAAAATAATTGAAATTAACTGCCGTCTTACCAGACAGACCAAGAACTACATGAGCAAGGCAGAAAATAAAGCTATTTCAGATGAAGAAACTACCTTTCTAAGTCAAAATTAAAGATACATTCCAGTGGCACAAGAGGGTTTCTAAAGCTTCTTTTGCTGTTGCTCATGATGCATGGCTTTTGGGCATGGTCTTTCCTCTCAAATTCAATTTAGTCAGGAGAATAAAGCCTTTCATGGATTTTGGTGATAAAGGTTATCAGATTTTCACCAACTCTTACAATGCATTCTGAAATGGTAAAATTGAAGCCAGCATCCAGAGTTTTGTTTATGATTGAACCACAACCTTTGGGCTTAAGGGGCAAGTCTTTTGGAGTAGGGCATAAATGGGCCATAGAGGCAGCAGATAAAAGGTTATGTGGGAATTACACCCTTCTCTGTTTCAACTTAATCTGTCAGAAAGCTGGTAATTTATCAGGGAAAAGAGAGGCAAACTGGTAGCACATATGACATGTCATAATAGTCATGCTATGACAAGAGACAGATTGCCCTTCTGAGAAGAGGTTATCAATAGATGTTACGAGTACCAGAAAATGTTGGCAATCAAAAGTGTTACAAGTTCAAATGAACTTAATGTTCTACGGTGTCTGTAATAAAACCAAATAAAAAAAGAATTGAGGAATTAACTGCCATTTTAAGTCAAAAGAACAACTGGGACTTGAATAGCTTTTGCACACTTTTAATGTACCTTAAGACATCGACTAGATCTATGTGAGGCTGTAACATGCAACCACTCCAGCAAAGGGGAAAAAAGTTACAGAAGCTCAGAAGCTTTCTCAAGGTGAAAGACAGCAAAATCACTTCTGACTTCCAGGTTGGTACAGTGGGACAGCTCATTTTTCTCTGGCAAGCTTCTGGCTTGTCGGCAAAGCACTGATTTCAAATACCAGTCTTCAGATGACATTAGACTATATGAATTCTGGAGACCTTATCTGGTAAAGCAACAAATTCAGATTGATGGAGGAAGGGAATGTTTTAGTCTTTCATTCTTTGTTCCTGTCCATACTCACAATCCTGGTGGAGGGAAGAGTTACAGGTCTAGGAAAAGTTTACTGGGAAAAAATGTGCAATTGATATGAATTGGTTATGGATTAAATGAACATGGATGGAGTTTAGCAGACCTGAGGAGATTTCACTGCACCAGGACCAAAGAAACTAGACATAAGGAAGAATTAAAAAAAAATAATTCCAGAAGGAAAAAAAAAGAAAAAATGGAGAGCAAAAAACTGATCTGCACTTGTCTACATGATCCTCTCTTATTAAAAACAAAATACTACTCTAAGCAGTCTTCCAAATTACCAGGATTATTACTGCAACATCACAGCAATTACACTAAAATGTAGGATTCTTTCAAGATAAAGAGTGAGATCAGCAAAATTAAATGCTGCCAATGAACTTAGCATTCCCCAGAGGGAGCCTCAGAGACATGTTAGGCTCTCTCATCTACTCAAGATTACTGACCCAACAGCAGTGGCCCAGTAGTATGTTATCCTGGAAGGAACAGTAAAGCTCAGGAGCTCACTGCATAACGTATGCATGCAATAGATGTGAGCACACTAGCCAATTTTATATAGAAGAAAGCAGATATAGAATCTGTGCAGTTTTAAAAAGCCCTCAGGACTTCTGGGCTGAAGCATCCAATGACAAATCCTGTAGTATGATTTCTGCTAAATTTAATTCAGATTTTATAAAATTAAAGAAAAAGAACTACTGTAAAAATATTAGAAAACAGCAGCATTTTGGGTAAATAATTTTCTCCCAAGTAAAAAAAAATATATTTTTAACAAATCTGTACAAATCTTCAAGAAAAGTTAGGAAATGTACTAAGATCCCAATATGGCTTGAAAAAGCAGTTTAAGAACAGTCAAGTGTCAGCTGCACAGGCCTTTTCACCTGCAAACACTATGAAAACAATTTTTGTTGCAGAGGAAATAGTCATCACCCGTTTTCTCTCCAGTGAATGTGAACATTATTGATTTGTTTTGATGAGGAGAATAACTGAAGTACTCAATAGTTTATTTTGTGATTGAAGTAATAGTCAATCAACACAAAAAGGCTATGAAAAATCACCCATCTGCAATATAATGAACTAGGACTCATTTTCATTTTAAAGGTGAGGTATCAGTGCCACAACCTTTTCTTATTTTTTTTGGGAAATGAATACTTGCTTATTCAGTTTTTAACAAGCAGCAGAGTTTCAGCTGCAAATTAATAGTTAAAACCAAACAGCACCACCTTCTTCAAATCAGCTAAGTGTATTTGTAGACATAAATTTGATGGATGCCCAGAAACTGGAGCATTCATTGCTGTGGGGCAACAGATGCCACAATGAAGTCACACTCTGAGAGATGTCACTGGGCTCAGGATAACAAAGTGCCTTCTGCACACAGTGTGAGCCAGACAGGAAGATATCCAACTTATGCTGGGGATGGCACGGGCAGTGCAGCCCCAAAGGAGCCTTTGAGGGACACCAGCTACCCTCTCTGCTTGGTGCACCAAGCTTTGGGGTGATGCAGATGCATTTGACCAGCCCTGCTGGCAATGTGAGAGTTAAGCAGGTGGTCACTGGGCACAGGGGGGAATGTGGACAACCTTTTTAATCCTACTGCTACAGCCCTTTTACAGATGGGAACAGGAATCTCCCACACAGCCATAGCAGTTTTTCCCCAGCATTGAATTCCCCCATGCAGCAGAAACGTCAGCCCTCATGATAAAAAAAAAGAGGTCTATCTATCCTGCTTCCCTGACTGTTTTTCAGGCAGTAAGGAGAATCTGCCATTCCTAATTGAATTCTGTTTATCTATGCACTAAATAAAGGTAACATTGTCACAAGGAGGTATTGAGGCAAATAATTAGGCTTTTTGTCTGTTAGACCAAAGATTTTAGCTTCCTGACTAACAGAAGAATGAACTGATGCTGCTAGAACAAGCTGGCTACAAAGCTGCCCGTGGTACTAAATAGAACATGTCATTTTTTGGATTACCTTCCCTATTCTGGGACTCGCTCAATTTTCCTCTACAAGACAAAATAAATTTTCCAAAGCTTGCTGATCTTGCAGCCTATGAGGACAGCTTGCATTTATACAACACACTTCACTTACTCAGGCTGTTTGAAGCAGTGTTCAGAGATGCCCACAAGGGACAATAATAAAAACCAGCCCCAAGGTGGGTAAGGTACACCTGATCAAACATACAACCTTCCTCCAGATGAAAATGGCTAAGTAGGTAGCTGCTGTGGAATGGGTTAAATACTTATTTTAAGGTCAAACATATAATCTAAATTAATTGAAATAATAATAATAACTTGTAAAAAGTCTTCATAGGTTGTTTCAAGCTAATTGGTAACACTAATCAAATGCCCTGCTTATTTTTTATTGTTCTTTTCTAATCTTCCACTTCCACTCCTTTTTTCTGGCAATCCCCCACACAACTAGAGCTTCATAGGAATGCACTCTGCAGTATTTATTGCAAGCCAGGCATGTCCTTTTAATATCTTCTCCATCATCTGTATTATCTAATTCCCTGAATAGGACAACATGGTTCAGGAAATTGGGTCTTTTTCTCCTCTCTCCTACAAGCTTGTCAAACAAGCCTGGGAAGGTTCATTCCCTGCCTCTGGGGATGGATTCAAGTACTACCAACATAACTCAAGTGAGGTTGATACCGAGGTTAGCAGGGAACAGTGCACATCAATAGGTAACTTAAAAGGTTGGTCCATTACCTTTCTAGCCTCTGCATGGTCATGGCCAGAGTTTTGTTGAGTTCTTCTATCATCCGGCACCCGGAAGGATGAATGGGCAACGTGCTGGACCCAGAAGGCAGGTGCTGGCTGTGGCTGCCATACTGGAGCTGGTGCTGGTGAGCTGCTAACTGGGATGGCAGGACAGTGTGATGGTGCTGAGTCAAAGGCTGCTGGGAGCTCTTCTGAGTGGAATAGGATGAGAGAGAGAGGTCTGGCCCCCCTAAAGGCATGCAAATCATGACTTTCTTTGGAGGTAGTGGTGGTGACAGCTTAACTGGCATACAAGGCAGTTTCACAGGAGCACCAGGATCTAAAAGAGAAGCAAGAGAGGCCCTGATGTTAATCTTCATGGCAGCAAGACGAGATCAGAGTATCTGCCTGGGCAAGCAGGTACTGAGGCTGCTAGTCAACATGGGAGTGTGCACCCCTTCCTTGCTGTGACAGATAACTCTGCATAAAATTCATTCAGCACTGTCTTCAGCAAAAAATACCATTATTTTGAAGCACTTCCATAAATATCCCAGGGTTGTGCAGGCCCCTTAAGCAATGCTTAACAAGGCTTGTGTCACATTTTGATGCTTTAAAGCCTTAATCCTCCAAAACAGCCCTGTGAGGTAAATGCAGTATCTCTCGCTCAACAGGCACGCAAATAGGGGGAGAGCAATTTGGTGTCTGAAGTTACAGGATGACTCACCATCATCACCACTGGAGCTAAAGCTCAGGGATTCCTGATCCCTGATCCTTCTCAGCCACTGCAGTGCAATTACTTCAAGTTACATTTCTTACAGCTTTGTAATGTGCAAAACATTTGGTGTTAAAAATTACATTAAAGGGCAAGAGAGAAAAGAAATAGGGTTTGAATACTAAATAGGAGTTGTTTGGAAAAACAAAAGGTACAGGAGGAGAAAATTATAAAGGGCAGAAGATTGTTAGGATTCATGTATTTTTTTGCAGAAGGCTTGGTAGGCACTTTTCTCTCGACACACACAATTAATTTTAACCTTTTTAACAGGCATGTTCATTTAATCACATAGTTGACCTGCCAGGCAAAGATTCCTCTGACTTCCATGAGAAACCAATGAGAAGCCCACAAGCAAACTTTTTTTGCCAGGACCTAACTGCAGAATGCAGTTTTTGGAGTTGCACTGTGAAACGTTTTCAGGAGGGAGAAAAAGTAATGGGAAGGCTTGTAGTTCCCATGATGTGTTTAGAAAATGGTCTTAATTTAAGCAAAGAACAAAACTGAGAGCAAATATACACACTGTGAGCTGCAACTGTGAGTTTATGTTTAGGAGGAAGGCCACACCCTTTTCAGTCTGGAATACTGCTGACATGTGGCTCTGCAATGCAGCTCTGCAGGCAAGGCTTGCACACTCTGGCTTCTTGTTGCTTCAGTTCACTCTTACTCCTGTAACATGGTACGGGAACTGAAGGGCCAGAATCTTCTTTTGACACAGGGAAGCTTCAGAGTAAGATGTTGCTCTCCAGGTTTAAAGGGTTACAATCCTCCTGAGTGATACCAGATTTCTAATGTCCTTTTTCAGGTGGTCCTTTTTTAGTATTAACTTTCCTCCCTCCTAGCTTATTCTGAGTATTGCCTGCGCTAGTATCCATATCTAGTAGCCAGGCTGCACAAGGCTGATACTAGGACTTTCAAGCACTAACATTTCTTGAATATTATTTAATGATAGTAAAGTGGAAAAGGACCAATCACATAGCCAAGCTCAGATATGCCATTAGACTTTTTTAGGGCCAGTCATAGCTTCATTGCACCTACAGTATCCACTTGATACTAGTGTTTTTACTACACTAGGAACAAAGCCCTGATCTTCAAAAGACTTATAGGATAATGACAAGTGAAGCAAATGTGGATTAATAGAGGCACAGAGAGAAGTGGGACTTCCATGTTGCAAAGTGGAACAGTTACAGAGAGCACAACCCAAGTCTTTCAGCATTCAATGCAGTATCATGTTCACTTGTCATGTCTCTTGAAGCCAAGAATTCTTCTGATGGCTCCACTAAGGCTCAAATCTAACTCATGGGATAGCCAAACCACAGGGCACTGCCTTCTTCTCTAAATCCTTCTGTACAGTAGAAAAAAAGACTTTCAGGATTTTCTATTGAAGCACAGGAAGGACTCCAAGTTACTGTGTTTTTCTTACACGCACACTACTTCTCCTTTGTACCCGATATAAAAGAACTCATGATCTTCAATAAAAAGGTAAATAACAGAAGAAGTAAAGACTAAATTGTATAGAGAGTTGAGAATCAGGCTCCTATGGGATTTGTAGTAACAAAGTGTTTTCATACATTTGTGGTCCAGGCAATCTCACTTCTACAGCTGGTCCTGAATTACAAAGGCTACACTGAGCTCTGCACTTCCATTTTCAAAAGGGCAGGTCTGATTGTTAGCTTTAGATCCCTCTCTGCTGTATCTCCATTGTCTTCCTCTGACAGTGCCTGTGCCTGGACACCCCACCACTCTGAGTATGATGCAGGCGGAATCATCCCTGATAGTGAATTCAAAGAGGTCCCAACTGAGGCATCTCTTGCTTCGGGCAAACGAGTAACTGGAAGTATCAACTGAGTTTGCTGCCTTCTGGGATGCTGAAGATTAGAGTACTATTGTATGCTGGGAGTGAGTATAACATGCCAAATGGTTCAGGTATAAAGCAACCATAAATCCTTCCATCTTTCTTTTCCTTTCTTATACAAGCAATCAGCCAGTAGAGTTGTGACAGAGGCACTGCAACCTTAGATTAGCACAGGAGAATGAGTCTATCTTAATTTCACAATGTATGTGATGTGTGAAGCAGGGGTGGAAACAGCTACTGTCTGCAACATGGAATATTCATAAAACACAGACATCTGGAGATGAACGAGAAGCTGGACAGTGGAAATGTGAGCAAGGAATCTGTGATAAGTGTCTTCTCAGTGAAACATTACCAAAGTCTTAAATCACTGCACAAAGCACTTATGTGACAGAAGAGAAGCAAACTCTGTGAAGCCAGGTGTGCAAGTCTGATTAATCTCTTTTGGCTGAAGTTCTTAATGTTCAAGAGAATAATGAGCAATTCTGCAAGATGTTGGCTCCCAGCAGGGTTGTGACCACTCAGCACTGTGCATGGTTAAGTAAGAATCGTGCCAGAATTGATGGAAGAGTTGTTGGGCATAGAAACCTTCCCACTGCTGACAATAAATTAAAATACAGTTGTGGATGCCACAATATTTGCTGCACATCAGACCTATAACAAACAGGTCAGTCCTTACCCAACAGCTGGCCCTGCTTGGAGCTTGAGGTTGGACTAAAGAATTGTTGAGATTCCTTCCCACTGAATTATCTTATACAGTGTTCTTGCTGTATTATATACAAGTAGTACAACTTGTCATAAAGTTAACGAGTCGCTTTGAAAATTCCATCCAAGTAATTAATTCTGTAAACTAACAAAAAATGTGAGGCTGCGTGAGCACTTCCACACCCAGTGTTGTGATCCAGATATTCCCTGTGAAGGCAGCATCAATAGGAGCATGGGAGACAGCATGAGGCAAAGTACAGAGAACCTTCTGCAGTGGTGGTGGCACCACTCCCAGTGGCTGCTCTGCAGTTGGCTCTTGGCTCTGTCCCCATTCCTACACTGCCCCATCCCCACAGCACCTCAGCCTTGAAAAGGAGCATGCCAAGGCTGTGTTATTTTTACCTGCTAGAGGCAATTCCTGCCACCTTTAAAACACATTTTTCTTTTCATTCTCCCCCAAATTAGATGTGGTCTGACATGTTTATTTTAGGCCTGCTTTTTATGTGCATTTCTTATTGAGGAAAAGGCCAATCTTTGTCTTGGCACAGGCAGATAGATGTTTGAGATGGTTTACAAATGCTTTCAGAGGTGAGGAATGTTTCTTTTCCACTTCTAAAACCTTTATTACATCTTTTGTCAAACCCTGCAAGTCAGTCTTCATGCATTTATTGAAGAACTTGGGATAAGTTAACAGCAAGAAGGTGGTCAGACTCAAAGGAAGCTTTTCCTTCCTCAAATTCTGTATTTAAATTTTTTTATTGCTGTTGACCACACCTGTAGTGATTTTAGAACATCTGTTTGAATAAAATGTTTCTATTAAAAACTTCTGTTAAAATGCTTCTGCATTTTCAGATGTGTTCCCAAACACTTCACAAGATCACATGTCCCCTTGCAGTCTTCTTGAACAAAGCTACCAGACCATTAAACCACTGTCACTCTCCATTAGCCATGCCCAGAATGTCTTAATTTGTCCTTCTCTCAAAATCTTTAGTAGAAAAAAGGGCAGGCAACAAGAACAGAGAAGTCTACCCACTAATGCCAGAATTCAGACTTTGTTTTCTCACACACAAGCTTAGGATGCCTCTGGAGTAATTAGTAAAAGAATAGCATTAATTTTGCTTCTCACTGATGAGGGTGCTTCATTAAGTTTGATTGTTCATTTCCAAAGATTATACACAGCTAAAAATCAGCCATGGAGAGCACAAGGCACTGAACAACATGTGTATCCGTTAGACCACCAAAGTAAATGGACCCTTAAGAATAAATTTAATATTTTTATTTATAAGATATGTATAAAAGAGGCTTGAAGTTCTACCACGAATAATTGTCAGTTAAATTAGGGCCCTATGACTAAATTTGAATCTCTGTTCCTTTTCCCTGAGGGTTCTATATAAGCACATACAGAATCTGTCTATATGTATGTACAAGAGTTTACTTAGGACTGCATGAGAGATCACTAAAAGCAACCACAAAGTAAGAGAAGTCACAGTTCTGTTTAATTTTCATTGGAAAATCATCACCATCAAGCAATTGACTTATGCTGAGAGCTGGTGCACAATTCTAGCTCACACAAAATTTTTAGTTGCAAAAAACCTCACTATACCAGAAGGTGCTTTCTGCTTTCTCTTACAGATGAAAGGCGTAAGAATTAATAACCTTTAGTACCTGAGGTTTTTTCCTATGCTATTCCCTTTTTAAAAATGTATTTTATATTTTTTAGTTCTTCCATGTTGGCCTCATTTCTGAACAGCTTCTTGCAATTGGGGCAGAGTTATGCGAAATCATAGAAAGCTGGTATTGTCCTCACCTGAAGCCATTAATACTGCTGCCTAACTTTTCAGGCTGCAGAACTGCCCATTCATTTTGTAGTACAGGGCACAGTATTAACCATTATGTGTAGATTTTGGCAGGCAAGAAAGTAAAGAGATTTCACATAAAACAAACAAAACTGTACAAAACAAAAATGCGTGGCCACCCAAACAGAAACACAAAGAGACTACGTGGCGATATGAGAGAAAACCAGAACACGCTCTTTCCTGATATATACCTTAACCTGAATAAAATGGGTAGCAACTGCCACAAAAAAAACCAACAAACAAACAACCTGACATCTAGAATGCATTAATGTGGACTGAGCATTTTTCACATCAGCCCTGGAAAGATCAGGGCAGCGTTAACACAAAAATATTGACCCAATGAGAAGAGCAGTAGATGCCCCAATACAGAAGACATCTTGTCTTAAACCCATGATTTTGAGGTGCTGCCTCCTAGGCAGCAGCTGCAATTATGAGCATACTGTTAAAAAGGTGCAGGCAAGCACCTTAGAGAATTTTTTTGGTCTGTGTAAATGTAGCCATTCTTTGATTTGGTGGTCTAAATGAGAGACTGGAGAGAGGAGATCCACCATTTCCACATATACCTAGAGCTTTGAATCCCAAAGAGCCTGGACACTCATGAAAATATCTGGAACACAGAAAAGGAGCTTGTATTGTCTACTGTTGCTAGGTGATATGCAGTGAGAGATAGACTGCAGGGCACGAAAATACTTGCCTCTGTGAAGTGGAGCTGCCCATATCAGGACTCCTCAGTCAGAGGGGAGTAGTCAGAGCAGAGGTGAAAAGGGTGGTGAAAGCAGGGAAGCAAAATGGCAAGAAGCCATGGGCCAGATTTGCCTGTGTAAGGCTGAGGGTGCCAAGTAAAAGACAAAGATATGGAAAGATACAGGGTGTGTGCAGGGGGACTGCCCAGAAGGCAGTTAAGGGGAGAAGCAACAAAGGGCAAAAGGAGAAAGCAAAAGTCTTCCTTTCCCCTCAATCCTCATCCCTTCTCCTATCAAAGGCACTTAAAGATATCCTAGCTTTTTCCTTACCCTTCCTTCCCCATCAAAGCACATCCTGCAATGTTTGTGGTGATGGTGAAGTCTTGATGAGTAAGAGTGAGGTGGGTTAGGAAATGCAGCAGCCATCTGAGGTAATGACAGCTGAGATGGGAAGTGCTCTGAAGTGACCTTGATGAAGGTACAGTCTGAAAATGCCTCGTGACCTGCAGGTACAACACAGATACGTTCCCAGCACACACAACATGTGCAAACAGCATTACAGAAGGAGGAAGAACAGAGAACCTTGCTGTAAGGGCAGCTTCTTCCTATGAGGGAAATGGTGGTTCTGAGGGTCCAGGAACACCTACTTACCAGTTAAGTGGCTGGCAATCCTGGCAATAGGTTTAGGAGGCAGGGCAGGGGGCTGTTTGAGGAGGGACAACTGTTTCACTGGGGTGTCCTCATGGTCTCCAGGGAAAGCGGCAGATTTTTTGGGGGGAAGTAGCAGGACTGGCTTAGCTGTAGGATCTTGGGACAGGAGGACGCTGGATTCATTGGATGTGGGGCTCTCTTCAGACACTGGAGGACACAACCACATCATAGACGCAACAACGTTACGAGCAAAGCAGCAGTGGATACAGCCGTAGTAACACAAGAAAAGCAGCACAGCAATGCAGATTAAGAGCGACTAATAGATTTCACTCAAACATCAGATGACATAAAGAGGAGGGAAGAGAGGAACAGTAACACACAGCTACACAACAACCGAATTTCCCATTACCTCTGACAGAAGCCAGCTCCCTTACGCCAGGCTGAGACGCGTTCCCACATCCTGAACGCAAATCAAGAGCCTTAAAATGTCACAGCTGAGATGGTCTGTCACTACAGCTTGCTCAGGACCAGATATGGTAGCAGGTAGTCTCTAAACTTATCCTGTAAATGTAAAAGCACCTCACGGGCCCCACTCCATTTCAAAGAGGCCGCACAGCTGTCGAAGATCTTAGATGTACAGTTCTGCCAGTCACAACCATCAGCATGAAGTGACGCAGAAGGAGGAGCTAACAGGGTTAGCTGTCTATCTGCAAGGGTTGGGAAAGAAGCACAGAGAGCCTCACCTAGGGTAAGGGTACCTGGCTGTGTCAGCTACTGAAAGCTGCGTGGTGTCAGTGTCACCCAGCACCACACACTGGGTAAAGGGCACGGTGTTGTACCCTAGGCTTTAAAAATATTGTCAGCTCTCTGCTCTAGAGTTCATTGGCACAGCTGAGATGTAGCTGCAGAGTTAGGAATCTACTCTTAAATGTTGACAAAGTGCAGGTTACTTGTGCTACTTCTATGCCAAGTCAGTTAACATTTCTCACGGACCATCCAGTGACAATCTATATGCTGTCATCTCCTCTTAGTTTTCAACAAGGATTTGTCAGGGCTAGACACAAATGTTAGAAGTCAGAAACCTGTTTCAAACAGCTTAGTATATATACATTATCATGTAAACAAGATGTTACCTGTCCCATCCATGATCTCTGTGGTTGGGAGCACCTCGTATGAGCAGGGTTCCCCAGGTGCTGGACCTGACTCCAGTTCTGCTAGGGCTGGCAGGGATACCTGGCTGGAGCTCAGCACTTGCCCGGAGCCTAGAGGTTGCCCATTCTCCAAAGCTCCTTCTTCATTTGGTATGGAAAGCTCCCCATCTGTTCATAGTTGGAGGAAAGCAGAATGAAAACAGAAGACATATAAATAAATGCAGAAAGAATTTTAAATTAAATCTGCTATCTCGATTAGTTGCTTGCAAATGAGGAATCTGAATTGAGATCTTGTATGTATACAGAAGACACAGGGATAAGGATCAAAACAATATGGCTTGTATCTCAAAAATCCAACTTGTGCAGAACAGTTTTCGGAGATGTCTGACTGTGATGTTCTGTCCACAACAGTTTCACACAAGTCTGATAGCATTTCACTTGCCCTAAGGGTTTATTAAAATTTGAGAAAGATCTATCAAAGATCTGACAGGTATCTTTGTTGTTCTTTTGGTTTCCCTAGGAGGGTCATTATGATCCATGGTCTAAGGTGGATGGTTCCTGACCATCCTCCACCCATGGGGATACACGACCCCATCCAGGGCCACAAAATCTGTTTTCCCTCTGCCTCATTGAAGCTGAGAAGTGATGAATTAGTATGGGCTGGAACTGAAGCTGTGGAACTTCCTTAAAGAATACTAATACACACAGTATATCATAATATATAATAGTAATAGTGAAAACAATAATAGTTGTTGTTGTTATTCTCTTCCATTACAACAATGTTTATGCTATAAGGGACACAAGTAAAATCATAGAAGTATATCTCTGTTTTAGACACAAATAAAAACATTATAGCTCGCAGCATCAAGAATTTTAGTAAGGGAGAAAATAGTTTTTACTTGTCTGATGTAAGGTCTTGATAGTGGGATATAGCAAATTCCATTTAGAAAGACTGTTTTAAAAGTTATTAATAGTATCTCCTCTACCAGCAAAATTACTGTAAGAGCAGCTGTATTTTCTTTCTTATCAGACACCACTTCACATTAGAAATAATAAAGAACAGAAGTGAGAGATCAGATCATTCTCTTTGGTGTCAACCTGCATGATTTTTATCTCAGAACTTGTTATACACAGCACTCTGGTACCTGGAGGCAATGACCACATGGATATCTCAATTACAGTTTTATAAAGGAAAGTGTTCAGCCCCTACGGTTACATGTGGAAGCCTAAAAATAAAATCAGAATGTGTCTTGTAAGGCTAAAAACCAGCAGACAAATAAGTGGAGCCTGATCTTACTATGCATTTAAATTATTTTTTTAATGAAAAACTTAGGATTTCAGGATCTATTTATTGATTTTCGGGCACCTCTGATTAACCATGTTACTGATGAATGTACCAAGCAGAGATGCACATCATTGCAACTAGTGCACATTTTCCCCTAATGGGGGGAATGTGCATAACACTTTGGAAAACAACATTGGAAAGAGAAAAAAATAAGTCTCACTTAAGCATCAGGACACAGCAATTAACAAGTCTGAAAGTACATTAGCTGGTAAGTATCCAAAATTAGGTCTTTGCCTTTTAAAGCTTCTTTACAGAGAGTGAATATGGTCTCCTGCTTATTTTGGCATTACTAGAAATACCAAGGTCTTGAATTTATTGTTTTTACTGGAGGTTTTTTTAAGACCTAGAGAACTATTATGGTACACTGCCACATCACACCAGACTGAAATGTGACCCACAGTCTTCAGAGCAATCAACTGAGCTGGCTGAAAGGTGGCAACATTAATCACAACTGAGGGTTTGGGCCAATTGTTCTCAGCACAATCTCATTCTAACTGCTGTGGTCATTCAATACAAACCCGTTTCTTTCTTCAGGCAGCAAAAATCAAACAACAGTTCAGTCAACATTTAAGCTGAATGTTTTTCAGCTTCTCTGGGTGGAGATGCTATATCATTTATGCTTGCTCTGTCTCCCTTTCTCCCCCTCTCCCTGTGTCGCTTACACACACCTTTACATGCATTTGGGATAGGGGCTGCTATCATCTCAGTTACCTGGTTTCATAAAAGGGCAAAACTGTTTCTTATGTAGAGCAACTTATGCAGAGATTGTGTCCAGCAATATTCATTAGTTCAGTGCAGGATTCAATGGGACCGTAACTGTGAGCAGACAGAGAGTATATGTGATAAAACCAGCAACATGAAGTTTTTGGAGGGATATCTGCACATTTCAATGAAGTGGAGTGCCTATTGTAACACGCTGAGCACCTTGAAATTTTACTGTCTTAAGTGCACCTTGCACTTCTCAAGGTAATTTCAGCATGATTTAAAAAGATGTCATTCAAATGACCCACTGAATGTTTATGATTGAAAAAAACCTAAAACATGAGATAAAATTTTGGGGTTTGCTTTTTGTCATAACAACAAGCATGACAGTTTTCTACACTGACAGAATAAGCTCTTTTAATTTTCCCTCTGAATATCTTCAGTCTTCATTTAGATTCTAAAACTTGTCCTTGGATTTGACTGAAATCATTAGACACAACACAGAATCGTGGCTAAATCAGATCATGCTTAAAGAAGAGCTACATGGGAAGCAGCTCAAGTACAGCAAACTGATCAAAGATGTGGATAAAATAATTTGTAGAGTGAAGAATATCTTAATGTGAATTAATCCTGGATCAGAGACATGCTCAACTACCCGCTATAAAAGGCAAATTACTTATTATTCTTGAAGCACTAAAAGCTATTCTGGTTAGCTGACATACAAATGAAAAGGATCTTGGTAATGCAATTATTACATATACATAGATGAATCTATTAGTCTTCAGGAACTGGCTATGAGTTTAATTTTGCACAGTGATAACATATGTAATCTTTTGTTCTCACACTTGCTAAATCCTTTGCTGTGTTTTCACAGAGCCTGCTGCTATTTAGTGGAGAACAACTTTCCCTAAATGCATGAGCTTTGATAGTGCCATCTAAGTGTGAATCAGCTGGATCTGGACAGGACCAGAGAGAGGAGCTTGACCTCTGCAGCAACAGGAGCACATAAAGGCTGCTCTCCTGTTACTCAGGAGGCTCCGCACACCTGCAGTCACTGAAGAAACAGGACCTCTGAGGAAGCTCTCTGATGCAGAGGACTCACTTTGATTCACCTTTGCAAGTGAAAAGCATGGGATAAAGGCCCAGAAATGCCTAGATGTTACAGTCCAAACCTGTGGCCTCTACGCATGGTTTGTACTCCTGAGCTCACCTGCCCTTTCCAGTTCCAGGTGCTTTTAAAAAATTGCCTGCTGTGGAGGAGCCCATCACACTGGCTGGTGTAGACCAAGTCCTTCTGCTGCCTCTTTACGTCAGGGCTCTGCCTACCCTCTCCTCTCATCGTGTCTTTTCACTCTGAACACCCTGGGCTAGGGAACTTGCATGAAGTTGAAAAGCTTGAAAAGGAGCTGATGTGCTCCTTCAACAGATAAATGGCTAAGGAAGTCAAAATGATGAGGAAAGATTGAAATCTTGTTATTCTTTTTCCTCTTTGGTTCGTCTCCCTCAGTACTTCTCTGCTCTCAAGTGAGACTGTCCAGGCAAGCATTCTCAACAGCAAAGGCTAGGAAAGGCAGAGAAAAACTCATGTTCTTTTCTGCCATAGCTCCCAGGAGTGTTCTTGCATGTAGTCAAGACGTGTCCTCGAGGCTGTTTCCTAGCCTTCATGGCTACCTTAGCACAGTGGATAGGATACTCCTTGACTTCGGTCTCTAAGCAGACCTCTGATTTCATGGGATCTGGTGGTTTCAGACAGGCTGACATATGGATGCCCTCCCTGCTTCTACAGGAGTTCAGATCTTTTCATGGTATTGAAAATGCAGCACAACTGGCTCCCTGGTGGCTGCCATGCCTTCCTCCCTGCTGCCAAAGCAAGTTCTTCAAACTTCAGCTCACCTACTGCCACAGAATCCACCTTAGCACATCAAGTGCAATACTCCCAAATCCTGTCAGGATTTAGTTAACCTGAAATTTGGGTCTAAATCCATTATCTTGATTACGTAGAGAGTAAAAAAATACAAAAATATAAAAGATGAAGGCTGGCCATGCTTCTTTGCAGAACCATTGCACCATCACCTCTGAAGTAACCAATTAGCACACAGTCATGTTCAGAAATTTTTCACTATGGCAATCTTATCTATGTTCAGATAAAGGAAGAGGTATCAAAATACTACAAGTAGATTTAATTCTTTGACCAGCACCACAGAACAGTCAGCAATTCTAAGGACACATACTCTGGGGACAGTTACACCTTCAAGTGAAAAATCCAAGCTGTTTATCAATGTGTGGGAGCAATGGTACAGCAAAAATGTGAGTTCTGCTGAATGCCATAGCATGTGCTGATTTGCAGGTGGAAGCTGTATTTTTAACCTCTCAGCACTGCCTGCCAACAAACTATTAGAACAGCAGGCACCTCATCAGGCACTTCAGCATACTGTTTTTCAGAAAATACACAGTATTTGAAAAATCACAACCTTTGCCTACATTTTCAGAAGACTCAAGTACAGAACTGGAAATGGAAGATGATAGAAACGGATTCAGTCATGAGCCTTGCCAAGAAAAGAGCTCTCTGCAGTTCAGTCTGGAGTGGATTCACTTGACTAGTTTAAGAATAGGGGTCACTGAAGTGAGAAAAGCATTTCTTGGTTCCCAAATATAGCAGCTGGACAGCAGTGACCCTCCCATGTGTGAACACTGTGATTTGCTGTGCTTTGCTTTCACCTGCTGGGTAACACAAAGTCCTCTGAAAAGTCAGCAAATCCTGAAGCAAACAGGTCAGTGTCTTTTTACAGAGCATGTGAACAGCTTGCTAATTGTGGTTTTTTTTTCAATATAGAAGATAGAATAAGACCAATACTAAATACACTGCCAGCTCCAGAATTTCTGTTCTTGGGTCAGCCTATACATATTAAATTTCTATTGTTCTGTACAGATTGTTTTTAAGAAAGAAAAAGGCAAAATGGTTCACTTACAGGCTGATTCTGACTGCTTTGTCCAGCCCTTAGGAGAGGGAGACAAAGAGATTTAACTTTATGACTACACCTATTGCCTGTGCAAGATGCCTCTTGGCATGGAAGGTGCTATCATCATTAAATAAAGCCTTCTGCTAAAAGTGCTAAAATCTGCCATGGTTTCTTGAAGGATTAGAGATTATTTAACAGGAATTAGAAGGAAAACTACTTCTGCTTAAGATTTGCAGTGAGATATAATATCCCTTATTAGAATTACTCTCAGATTACTACACCAGTGAATGAAATATTGCTTTAGTTCTACAAATCTTGTCTTACTCATATCTTGGTATCATCAAAGCTACCTGGTCACTGCTACTATACTTGTGTATTAGCACTTTCTTCTCTGCCCTACCTCTTTCTTTCGAGGAGAAGCATCAATTCTTAGTTTTCTGTGTTTGAAACCAGCAGGAAATAATACAGGATACTGAATAAGAAGTCCAGCTGTTTTGCATTACAGCTTCCCTTTTAGTGGCTCCTGACAGTGAAAAAAGTCCAATGTCTCTGTTTTTTTGCACTAGAAATAGGATGAAGCAGCATGGGTTTCAGACCAGTTTTTTTTTCCTGATATTAAAAGGTGAAAAATTACTACAAAGAGGGATTAACTTCTTTTTTTCAGATGAGGACCTCCAGACAGCTTAGTATCTGCTTCACAACATGATATACTAGAGCATTATTTGATGGATGGTGAAAGCTGCAACACTTGGGTGGCGATATGGTGGGCAGGGCCAAGCTGCACAGGAAAGATTTTTCCTGGGGACGCCTTTAGGTTTGTGTAGTGCTGGGTCAGAAAGCAGCTACGTGTGGGATGCGAGGCAGGGATGAAGGAGGGAACGACCTGGGTGGTGCTGAGGCTCAAGAAGGGCAAACCTTTTGCCAGGAGTTGTTTATACCCTGAAGTTGCATCTAGGATGACTTCCAAAGAGCAGGCCATAGTGAGAGCACAGGCAGCATTAGATCTACAGGATTAGAAAAATCTAAAATACATAATGGTTAAAAAAAGTAATACTTAAGGACAAGCAGCATTTTGCTTTGTTTTTGCAATGTTTTTTATTTTTCCCATGTAAATAATTAAACAGTTTAGGATAGTAAATTTTAAAATAATCTCTCTTTTCCCAATAAGCTAGGCTGAAAAAGCAGGTAGCAGATTTAATACCTCCAGACTTTATGAGATAGACTCTACTTCATATGTCTGTGACAGTTAATAACTTCTATTGACTTCTAACAGGTTTTCTGCTGGTATTGTGAAAGACTTTTAGACTTGGAATTAATGAGAATTTAAAGCACATGTATAAGTTGTACTGAACTTAAGAGGCAACTTTGTAATGTCTTTATACACCTTGCTGAAATAATTACTTTAGTTATTAAGAAGGGAAGCAAAGCAAATAAAAGCTGAGGTTAAAGATTGACACATATGTAACAGATATCAAATATGTATTGCATTACCAGGATAAAGCAATGGTCTTTGTAAGACAATGGTGTTTTGCATAAATACCTTACCAACTCAACAAAAGTTATCCTGAACAAGGAATTACTACTGTTATGTCTTCTGAGCTGTTTGAAGAGATTGTGCACTGTTCTGTGCTAGTTAGTATCCAAAATCTTTTAAAATTTCCCTTTTGCACAACAGTTAATCCCAAAGTGACTCAACCAGACAATGACAACACATGCAGGCACAGAGCCACTCCATCTCTCTGCAATCTGGATGACTTGCTGGTTTGCAGTGACTGGCTCCTGCACTCTGCTGTGATTTATATTTCCTTTACATTTCCAATTAGCTTTCAGTTTTATTTGCTAGCTAACTACCACATTCATCCAATGGAGAGGGCCAGTCAATGGTGAAATCAAACAAGATGCTTGGAGACCTTATTCTGCAGAGTCCTACAATTCAGGACCGTATTCCCAGTTCTCATATGCTACAATAATGTAATATCTAACCACAAAACTACATGGGATGTCAATTTAACATTGTGAAAAGAACACTTACCTTTATCAAAAATTTCTTTCAGCACTCCTCGTTTTATAAGCTCCTCTCTGCTTTGCCTCATTGATATTTTTCTTTCCAAAGCTGTAAGCAAAGGAGAAGGGTCAATATAAATAGCAAAGAATGGAGGTAATTATTTTAAAAGACTGCCTTTTGGCATTTAAGAAATGCTTTTTCTCCTCTGCAAGTCAGTGGCAAATTAAGTGTCTGAACATAAAGGCTACTACTGGCAGTCCAGAGAACCTGCCTGATGCTGTAGCATGGCTGTTCTTGACAGAAATGGCTATACCATAGACTGATAAATTTTTGGGTGTACCTGCACCCCCCCTTGCTTAATTTTGACACGACTCAAGCATTGCTGTGGAGAATTAGAGACAGCAAAGGGAAAAAATTAGTGCAGAAGCTTGTTTGCCACAGTCTCCAGTGAGAGCAGATGAGGCATTCAGGACAAAAAAAGAGCTGTTCAGTAGACTCTTCTCCCTGTAGGAGTGTTTTCTCTCCCAAAAGCTGTAAATGAGGGAAACTCCATAAAAGCCACTGCAATCTGCACCAGGCCTGAACAGCCTTAGTCCTGTATTTGCTGCTTGGAGACCGTGGTCAGTGAGGCAGCAAAATGACAGATAGAAATTTCATGTTTGTTTAGTCCAGCAGTAATTAAAACAATGTCCAATTAACCAAAACACCACAAAGGACATGCGTTCAGGCAAAGAGCTGAAAGCCAGCAAGCCAGGGGCACAAGAAATGATGTGCAGGAAAGGCCGTGACTGTGTGTGCTCTGCAAGAAACAAGCCTGTCCCTGCCAAAAAAGAGGCACAGTCAAGGGCGAATTGCTTCTGCCATATGCTCCCCGATCAGACCCAGCACAGATGCACAAACACACAGATGAACTGGGACTTAGCATCTTCAGTTTGCCCAAGGTAGATTTAAAGCAAAAGAGGCTCCAAAACCCTCTCTCCACCCTGGAAAACGAGGCTGTAACCTTTCCTGGCATTGCTGCATGTTGGCTGTTCCTGCAGGGGCACAGTATACTTAGTATACTGTATTAGCTATGCTTATACTGACACACTACACACATTGCAACTTATTTGCTGCCAGATAGATATGAAGAGTATGAACAAAGCTAGCTCTGCTTCACTCTTTTCCATAGGATATATTTAGGTCTCCCCATTGCTACTATCAGTTTTGAACACGTATTCTTCAAGACAAGGAAAGTCAGTAGGGACAGTTAATACCTAAACCCACCCTCTGAACTTCAGACTTCGCCTCATTTGAAGAAGTGCTTTAGGCACCTTGCTGACTTTCAATGAAACTTTCATTTCTAAGCTTCTAATACGCTTTTGAAAAGAAATACCCAACAATCATACTGTGGAGTCATGTTGCAGACTGATTCCCAGTCTTCTTTCCCTGCACTGAAGGGGCCTTGTTCTGATATGGTATTTAAAGGTTTTTCCCTCTCCTCCCTTAGAATGGCTGCTCTCAGCTCCTCCAAAAAGAAAAAACAAAACAAAGCCAGAACAAGCAACAGAGAACTCCCAAGCTTTCTCCCACCAAAGAAGTTGTTAAAACCCTGACTGACTTCAAAGAAGAATTTGGCAGCACCAAACACCTTTTCCAGTAGGTCTGGGAAAGTGTAATTTTCTGTCAGTGTAAGCAGGAAACAGCACCCAGTCTGTCTGAGCTTGTTCTTCAGTGGGAAATCCAGCCATCTCTGGCTTTAGTACAGCTGGCCAAGTACAGCCATCTCTGTACCTTAAATAGCTGAGTAACAGATCTGTGTTTCACAGACAAATGCACAGTTACACGCCTTGGTTCACCATCTCACCCTCCTGCCTATTCAACATCTGGCTATGCAAGGAGGCACCAGTGCTAAAACTGACTTCATGGCTAGGAAAGGCCATCACACCACTAAAGTAGTGGTAAAAATCACAATAATTTTGTGGATTGGAGTTAAGGTTTTTTGGGGGACCAATGGCTATTGAGGGCTAGAAGAACATTTTGGAGAAGCACAGAAGTGCCTTTCTCAAAACAACCTCTGGGCAAGATATTCAAAGATTGACCAAGACTTCTCAAAGTCATGGACTGTTTTTGCAGTCTAGCAGAATTTGGAATATAGAATATATTTCTGGAAGATTCTGTTTTTTCAGACACTCCCTTTTCGTTGTCATCCGCTTCTACTAACGAGTGGGGAAAAAAAATCCTCCAGCTTGAAGATCAGACTAAAACAATTTTTTGTTTCCAAATCCTTTCTAAGTAGGTACAGGACTTAAAGTATTAATTATTTCCCTGCTAAGCCAGTTTAATTAATAAGATATTTAGAGGAAGGGCATGCTGAGCTAAGAGCAGCACTGAATGATAATAACAGATGTTATACTGAAACTATGGAACATGCTGCCTTCCTTTAATACAAATCTTCCTCCCAAACAAGTCTCATACATTTATGTGCATAAACTGCTATGCTATTGCTGGATCAGGTGGAAAAAAAATTGCAAGAGCTTAGATGCAGAACTCATTACCATCTAACAGCTGAACAATGAAACGTTTCACTTATTCTGGATTTCTCTGGCAAAGATTGCCTGTTCTTTTAGGAAGGATTTTATTTTCAAGCAGAAAGCTGATACAGAATAAATTAATTCACTCTTCAATGAGAAGTGATCCATTTACAGCAGAAGATAAATAAAAACCTGAGAATGAATTCTTGATTCATGAGAACCTTGTAAATTCAATGATAGAGAAAAACGAAATAGAATTAGTATTTAACAAAAGATGTATCACTTCACTGGTGATATTCATTGCTGATCAACCTCATTTTGTTAATTCATACAATCTTCTAGCAGATTAGAAATACACATTAAGCTCTCTTTATGGGGTCTACTTATGCCAGAAACTGGTTTTCTAACAAATCCATCCAAGAAACTATCAGTTACTAGTTTATAGAAATGAGCATATGGGCACTTTATGACATAAGTGTACACATTTTGCCAGTGTGCTCTGCTCTATACTGTTTCTTTTAAGTGCTGAAGAAAAAACAGTGGGAAATGTTTTTATTAATGTTTCTGAGCTGGTATTTTCGAACTCATCCCTCAGGAGCAGCACCCCTCTGCTGTTCAAGCAGAGCTTTTCTCTATGGCAGACCCATTAAGATCAGTGAAGCCTTGACAGGGTCAGGAGGATTTCCTGCCCTTTCATTCTGGAAATCAAGCACAGTTTTGTCTTTATTCCTTTAATAAGCCGTTGCTCTCCTTGATGGTTGTGACTGTGGGCTGCTCCTCCAGCTGAGAAGGTGAAGCTCACTGCTGCCTCTGTGCCAAGCACTTCTGCTGCTCCATTAACCAGCCAAAGAGGCATTTATGTAGTCAGGACTTGTAACCTTTCTGTCTCTCCTGTTCTTCCTTCCAAGATATCTCAGATGAACTCTTTCAGCCAGCATCTATATGAGAATAAACTGGTCCCCTCTGCATAACTTGTCATGTTGCTGCTTAAACCAAGGGGCAGACCAAATAAGCAATGCCTGCCCTTTCTTCTCATCTGACAACAGAAACTAAACCCCACCCTGTGCCAGCCAGTTAAATCTTCACCTCACTTTCTTTTGAAGCTGCTCAAGGCCTTTGTCTTAAAAAGCAATGGGCGTTGCTTTGCATGAGTTCTTCCTTTCTAAGGCCACTATAATTTTCATGACTATTTTAGAAAACAAAGGTCATTATAGGAATGGAGCTTAGAGCAGAAACCTTCTGGTGCATCAATCATATTTGGATTTAATAGGCAGAATTTGCTTTGCTAATAATTCTGAACCAAGCAATTAGAAACAAGCAAACCAACTGCTTTGCACAGTTATAAGATAAACAACCATCAATATTTCCTTTAGCCTTGTAAGGAAGGAGAGATTTTCAGATGTGATGGATTCTGTATTAAAAGATGCTACATCATCCTGAAATTCTTCCAACTATGTTCACTTTCTTGATAATCAAATGGAGCAGGATTAATCTGATACAAATGTTTAGTGTGGGCTTCTGCCTCTGAGTTGTCCTTATATACTAAGATCAAGTCTCAGGCATGGTTGATCTCAGACTAATGTAACCATTTAATTCAGGTGGAACTGCACCTTGGAAGTGCCTGCTAGTTTTTACTTTCCCTAAAGGAAGTGGAGGGTGAGTAGCTGAGATAAAGGTGCACAAAATTGTGGCTGAATCCACTCCTGAAACTGAAATTGACTGAAGAGGGTAGTTTTAAGAAAATAAATGTTGCGTAGATTAAAGTCTCAGAAAGAGCTGAGGAAAATGTATGTCAGCTCACAAAAGTAGATGTGTCAACTCACACAGGGATCCATTAATTGTGGGATTTTTCCAATAGCTGTGCATGGCACCCACCATCAGTGCTGTGAGCTTAAGGGCTGACCAACACCAAAGCATAGCCTGACTGAAATAACTGCTTTGCTTTTCTCAGTGCTAAATATGAATTTTGCTTGCCTTCAAACACTTGTAAGTCTCTTGAAGTCTAAGGGAAGAAAAAATTTTCAATGTGTTTCTGAGTCTTTGAGATTTAAAGTTCCTTGCAGAGTTTTGGTCCCTCTAATCTCAGACTGGGTTTTCCTGTTAACAGCACCACCTACAAAATCTGACTCAGAGTACTACCAAGAAAGGATTAGGAGCACCTTTTTATCTGTGATGTCTGCTCATGACATTTCTTGTTCTGGCTGTAGCCCAGCACTGCTATGAGATTATGAAGTGAGTGAACATCAGTTGGGAAAAGATGTGTGGCTATTAAAAGTTAAGTTTGATTTTAAGACTTGCAAAGACCTCTTCAAATCAGGTCCTGTTACAGGAGCTGACTGAAAAACAAACCAAACTGTTTCAGAACATGAATAATTTAGAAAACTTCTGTGGCATGTGCTGCAAGAACCAAAGTTGGCATTGATGTCACAGTGGAGGATTAACTCCAAATACTCCTGAAGCAAGCCAGTGTCATTATTAGCATTACAGAGGTACAAAAGTGAGGTACAAACACTCTGAAACAACTTGCCTTGTCAACTGCTAGATCAGTAGCAAAGCATTAACAGTAACTGCTCTACAGCCAGTGGCCAACACACT